ATGCCTGACATAGCACTTATTCCCATTTTCTTTTATTAATCTCTTGCCATTTAGTATGGACTGTTGTTGTCATCTTGCCATAAACTAGCTATTACAGATAATAATATCTATGAAAAGCAGGACAGAGAACTTATAAAATTTCTCTTACACAGATAAATTGAAGGAGAGAAATTTTTAGAAATGGGATATGATACACCAGTCATGTGACTTGATTAGACTTCTTTTTGATATTAAATTATTTTATAGAAGAGTAATTACAAAGTCAACTTTAAGTATAAACCCAAGCATTTCAATATTGAATTTTGTTTACAGTGATATATACTGATATACATTATTACTGAGTTGATGAGAAGAAATTTCAGGTCCATAATATATTTAGAATGCAAGATCATTAAACAATGTAATCCAGGAAAGAAAAATGAAGTGAAACTAAAGGGATTGCCTTTATAGAACACTTCTAAAATGATGACAAGTCAGGAGAAATATCTCGTCTTTATTATTTTAATTCTAATCATCCAAACTGAAGAAGTAAATCAGAGTCTGTAGATGACTATGAGGATCCAAAATAACTTACAGAAGAGACAAAAAAAAAAATGAGGAAACACTCTTTCTGTATTTGGGAATGGCAGCTTTACTTGCTCTTTCCTAATGGTGAGAGCAGGCAGTTTGAGATTCACCCTCTGGGTGTCCCTCCACTTGCCATACCAGCTTCATGTTCTAGAACATCCCCCAAGATGTTCTGTGATTAACCAGACTATTGGGCTTTCTGTCACCAGGGTGTGTTTTATCCTTTCTGAGGGCAGATCAGCTAGTTTGTGATGAAGCTGAATACATTGAAGTTACAGATGTTGGTAATTTTCTAGGGTCCACACAGTATCTTCAATTTCAAAGTCATTTTTATAAGAATTAAAGCATCTCTTTGAGTTTTAAAAAAATCCATTGTTTTACTTTACCAGGTTTATAATAGATATCAAATTATGTTCATTTTCATCTTTTATATTTTTTGGAAAGAAGATCATATCCTGTTTCAGACATGGGCTTCCCTTGTGACTCAGAGATAAGGGATTCACGTGCCAATGATGGAGACTCAGGAGATGTGGTTCAATCCTTAGATAGGGAAGATCCCCTGGAGGAGGAAATGGCAACTCACTTGCCCAGAAAATTCTTGCCCAGAAAATCCCATGGACAAGGGAGTCTGGTGGGCTACAGTCTTTGAGATCGAATACAACTGAGTGACAAAAATTTTGTGGAAAGAAGTTTGTTCTTCCAGACATGATACAGTAGATACATAACATTGTTCATTCATTCACTGAGTGTCTATTAAATATGTTAAAGTTATTCCCGCATCAAGATACCTTGTGGTTAGAAAGGGACAATCTACTTCCTAGTACATTCCAAATGTACTAACTTTGTTACATAAGAAACACATGGGACAAGAGTTCTTTCAGGGCACTTTTTTTTTTATTCATATGAGTGTCTGAGACTTTACCTGGCATCATAAATAGGCATCTCATTAGCATCCCAGCATAACACACATCTCTCCTGTGTGTGTTTATGACATTACAGGCAATAAAGGGTCCAGATACTACTTCCTTCACCCTGCCAGCTTCACTTTGGTGGAAAATATGAAATAAATATTATTCACATTAACCTGGCACAGAGGAGCTTCCTAGGCTCCAAAATGTATAGTCATGAAAGGGCCCTGTGCTTTGTTTAACGATCTGCTGTCATGATTTTGAAACTCTTAATAAGTTATGAACAATAGGCCCTGAGTGTTCATTTTGCAATGGGCCGTGTGAATTTATGCTGGTTTTACCTACCTAACACTTGCTCTTCTTGGCTATATTGGTCTGCCCTCTGCCTCTAATTGTACTTTACCAATATGTCCACTCTCTTCAATCAAAGAAATAAGCAAATAAGAGCCCCCCTTTTTTTTTGTTAACTAAATGCTTTTTAAATTAACTTCCAAAGTACTATTTCCTAGCAAGTTAATGACATAAATTTTTAATAAAGCTATGAAAAGTCTCTAAAAAAGTTTCCTTTTTTTCCCCCAAGAAAATTTCTAATCATAATATTCTTACTTTGGTGGGTTTGTTGTCTGTGTTTCAGACTAGTTAATACAAAGATGGTATTGGCTTTATGCTCTTTTTTAAAAAAAGACAACTGAGTATACTATTTAGCTTTTGTTTCTTTAAAGTAAAATTTGAGGAAAGCTTAAGCTGAAATATGTTTTCCAATTTTTATCTTGACTAGTTAGCAGCTCTTTGCTCAAACCTGAGAAATCTAGCTCTATGCTATATAAATTGAGGAGTCAGGATTGGAAGCAAATTCTATTGTTGTGAAGTAAAATATTTCACCCAAACTGTATGGGATTAAAAATTACGGCATGTAAAAGCATAGCCATCAACACCTACTAATAACTTGAAATACATTTTCTGCTTCTTTAGTGCCACCGAATATGCTCAGTCTCACCGCTGTCCCAGAAAGGTCTTCTTTGTACCTCTGAGGTAAATGGAGTTTCCATCTCTCTTAAGTCCTTCAAGCAACACTGAGTGTTTACTCACTGGGCTTTTAAAGCTGGGTCCCAAACTTTTCTCTTTATATTTGCTGGAAAAAAAATTCAAAGGGCCATGTTTCTTTGTTCTTCTCCAAGCCCACAATTAGCTGAAGTTCCATTCTGTATAGCTAGGAGGAGGAGGACAGGATTGACCTAACAGGCTTTTTTACTGCCTGTGAGAAAGTGCTCGGTGAATTTCTTTGTCCCTTTTGTCAGGGCCGACTGCCTCCCTAATTGTACTGCTTGAGGGAAGCACGTGCCTCTGGGAGCATTATCTGATTCCTACAGGACGCTCAGGAGTGCTTTGTATACTGACCCTTAACTTGAACACAAATAATAATTTCTTTTCAATCCCCTTCCCAGACCATTCCCCCAGGCTTGGACACCTAAGAGCTTTAATTCAGCCAGGGCTGTGGACACCTTCATCGGGGCCTCAGGTTTTAGTTTTTTTTTCTCTCACAGCTGTCTCACCTGCAGCCTGCCTCACCTGTCAAGGGGGAAAGGTGAAGAAGGAGGCAAGGAGGACTGGGAGCTGTGGAAGTCAGAGGAGAGTAGAGGCGAGACTAACAGCTGCTCTTGTCAGCGGGGGGATAAGTGTAAAGAGATTAATAGTTATCTGAAGAGCAAATGGGGACATGGCATTCGGCAGTGGAATGTGAATGTATAAATGTAATGGAATGGGCATGCGACTGTTAACATTTAGACAGATGCTCTCTGGACTGAATGGAATGGCAGAGTCCTCCTCCTCCCCATGTGAAATACTTAAAGTTTAGTAAAATAACTTCCTTACACTTAAGTTGAATTGTTTTCAAGCATCAATTTCTTTACAAGTTTGTGTTCTCTTTAATTTGACTTTTTCTGGGACTCTTGGTTATATTTCACTTGAAGAGCCAGACTCCTCATTTTCTTTATAAAATGTGTACCAACAGGACTGCCTTCTCTTTGCTTCTGATTTGTTTTCCTAAATTGAAGAAACTATGAGGATTCCCTGTGTCAGAAGGTTTCACAAAGGGAAAACAGCATGCAAGCTGGTGGCCGCTTCTAGAAATGTGTTCAATTTAACTCAGGAATGACTTGAATTATCTGATCAGTCTGACAGGTGTGATGGTGTAGACTCGGAATCAGATTTGGTTTCAAAATAACTACTCTTGGCTTATTAGCCAACGCTTGAGCAATTCACTTCCCCTTTCTGATAGTAATACAGTAAAGATTCTTTTTGTCAATGAAATGAGAAGTTAAATTATTACTTCCATAAACATCTTATTGAATTATCTACTCAGTGCTGATATTCCTAGAAGAAATAAAATTTCTGGCAGAGAAACTGTATGAACTAATGTACTTCTGAATTATACAAAATGTAGAATTTTAACCATAACTAGATGGTTTTTCTCTTACACATGTTCTACTTTAGAAAATAAACTACTACAAAGAAAATGAAAGAACAGATGGGAAATTAGGCTGTTTGGATGGTATCTTGTTACCTTTTAAAATACATAGCTGCCTTTCTAGCCAGGATAGCAGGGGAGTTTGGGGGAGAATGGATACCTGAGTATGTGTGGGTGAGTCCCTTCCCTGTTGACCTGAAACTATCACACACTGTTAATTGCTTATACCTCAATACAAAATAAAAAGTTAAAAATAAATAAATTGCACATGTGGTCCCTCCTTTCAAATAATCTACACTAATTCCTAAAAGTTATTGTTTTGAGTGAATAAATATACATGCCATATAACTTAAGGTAAAACTGATGAGATTTTTAAATTGCCAATACATATGACAAAGTTTAAAAATCACAACCTTGTATATTCGTGAATTAAGAGATTTACTTAAGTATTTTTGGAAAAAAATAAAATACATAGTTGCTTCTTCCTAACATTGCTACTCCTTCCCCTCCAGTTTTCATGAACCCAGTTTTGGGGGGCAAGTTGGTACCCTGAGACAGAATTTAGAATAAAACTTAAAGAAAATCTGGAGGACAACCATTTTGCTTAATAGACAAGTTGACCTTTAAATCTTCTCTAGAGCATGTGTAACTAGTGGTCTTTTTCATTCTGACTACCAAGACAGAAGAAGAAAAAAAATAGCAGGTGGTAATCATTTGTTTGAAGGAATTCATAAGCAGCTACTGAACAGTGATGTTTTCTGCCCAGTTTGCGAATAAGCACCCTATCTACTCTCAGATGCTCTTGGGGAGACTCAGTTTCCAAAGGCTGCCCATGAAGCTGTGTGATCTGTGCAGGTCTTCATAAAACATTGCCACACGCCTCACGCTTCCCTTGGTATTTTGAACTAGGCATCACAAATTGGTCATTTTCCTTTGAGTGTAAAGCGCAGCAAATCTGAGGTTGATCTCTGTGGAAGGCATGCGCCAAAAGATGCCTTTTGAGAAGCAGCAGTCTGCAGCTTAAATGGCTAACGTGGGGGTTTCTGGGTGTCCTGCAGCCACAGTACACGAACCTGGGGCTCCTAAACAGCATGGACCAGCAGATCCAGAACGGCTCCTCGTCCACCAGCCCCTACAACACAGACCACGCGCAGAACAGCGTCACGGCGCCCTCGCCCTACGCACAGCCCAGCTCCACCTTTGACGCCCTCTCACCGTCGCCCGCCATCCCCTCCAACACCGACTACCCGGGCCCACACAGCTTCGACGTGTCCTTCCAGCAGTCAAGCACCGCCAAGTCCGCGACGTGGACGGTAAGAGTACGGGTGCCCCTGTGCCCTTGAACTTGACCCCCAGGTCTGTGGGGTGTCTCCGTCACCCCCCAGGCTCTCTCCTCCATCAAAGCTTAGAACTCCATGTTGAATGCTGGAAATGTTCTCCCTGTCCTCTAAGGATATTTTGGTTTGGAATATTCCACACGGAACCAGAAAGAGAAAAAGTACCATTTAGTAGAAAGAGCCCTGATCTGGAAACCGAAGGCCTGTGTTCTAGTAATTCTAGCTGGTGTGTTCTTGCCTGCCTCATCTTTTGTGTGAACTCTTTTGGAAATATGTAAACCATTACACGGATGGGAAATGTAATCCTAGGATATATGTTTTTGCAGTCTGCAGAATGTAGGCTAGTTCCTATTTATTAAGGAAGGCTTAAATTTGTTCATACGTGTAGGTTCTCTAACATGACTCATATTTTATTGATAAACATTTATTTATTGCATTTAGAAGCATGTACCCCCCCCCAAAAAAAAACCCTCAAAAACTATTCAGCAGAAGCCTGAAATAGGTTCAAAGAGATTCTGATTTAAAATTTTGGAAAAAACATAATTTTGCTTAAAAAAATGGAAATATTGATCATTTAAAAAATTCAAAGGCTGTAAGAAGTTCTATTCTATTTTAGAGTTGATTTGATAATTTATTATAACATGAATAAAGCTCAGCTGTAAGGGAGGAGACCTATAAGACTGGTTTTAAATGGTTGATCAAAGAATGCCCAAGACCAAAGTGGCACACATTTGTCAAAGAAGTTAACTTTTGCCTGGATTATAGAAATCTTTCACATGTCATCCTCTCGTGGAGAAGTAGCTTTCAAATTGTTTTAACAGATTATTTCCTGTTTGGCAAATAGTTTTCTTTGGAAAGCATTTATTCTTTGTATGCCACAGTATCCAGGCTTTACTTCAGTAGTACAGAGTTTATAAACTAACCTGCATTAATAACACTAAATTCCAGCATAATTTCACATACATCCCCCCATTTTGACCTCACTTCTTTGTGAACTCTGTAGGGTATGTTTCACAACTCCTACTTTACTAGGGAAAACTAAAAGAAAGTGGGGTTTCAGTGACATCCCTAAAGATACAGAGGCTTTTGTATAGCCGGTCCTATTTCTGATTCTGTCACCACTACTTCCTCTCCTCCTCCCTTCCCCCTGCCCCCTAGATTATGTGCTTGCTTTCTTTTTCCACCATTTCACATCAGGATGTTCCAAACGTGTCTAAGAATTTATCATGGTGCTTTTCTTTCATGGTTTGAGAAGTTGTTCCATCCTGGTTCCTTTTTCAACCATAACAGAAGTATTAGCTTAAAACTGGATCTCTCTTCAGTGTGTGATTTTTTTTTTTAAATCAGTTGTATCATACTGTTTAGTCTCTTTTATATTAATACTCATGGAGGTGGACACTCCAGGTGAATAAGCTTAAGTTCATAGGCCTTAGGATATATTGGTTGATTGATCTAAGCTCTATTTTGCCACTAGAACAGCCATTTTATAAATGGAACCCTGATGTGTTTCAGAATAGGGGTCACCAAGTGGATGTTTACAATCACTGATCTTCAGACCTTACTATTGCTCATCTGGCATGCTCATGTGGAGCTCCACTATAGTAGGAGTGAGTGCATCTGAGCGATGATGGGCACATTTGGTGCCACTAAATGAAGAATCACTGCCCTTCTGAAATAGCTTAGGCTGGGTGGAGCATGGGGACGGAGTGGGGATAGAGCATGATGCAACTACAATGTTAAATTAATCTTTTTTCCTCATTTTTCCCTCCCACCTCCTCATACAGAAATCTTAAGGCTTTTATTTTCCTTTCAGTTTTAGCACAGTTCTGAACCATCTTTCATCAAAGCCCCTCTCTCAGAAAAGTACACTGTCTCAATTAAAAAGGTTAGGCATGTTTACATAAGTGGTAGGTTAAACAGCAAAGAAAATGTTTTGTAGAGTACCGTGGTAGACGTTCATTACATGTGGCAGCAGCGGTATCAGAAGCCTACAAAAGGGGTAGGCAGGTGAAAGAACATCTCTTGGGAGCCAGAAAACCTGGATTCTTGCCATGATCATCCTCATGACCCTAGCCGAGTCACTTCATTTTTTTAGAATTCAGTCTGTGCCTGTGAAGAGGGTGAATAGGGTGAAAAGTACTCCCTTTCCTTAGGTGAAGTAGTATTAATCATCAACATAGAAAGGTTTTAGAAGAACTTAGCTTCTTTTCCTTAAAAAAAAAAAATCATTTATTTGGTTGTGCCTGGTCAAACAAATAATTAGGCATGTGACATGTGGGAGCTAGTTCCCTGGCCAGAGTTCAAATTTAAGGTCCCCTGCATTGGGAGCATGGAGTCTTAGTCATTGGACCACCAGGGAATTTCCAAAAGAATTTAGCTTCTAATCAAACTTTTGCCTGCCACTAATAAGTGACCTTGGTTAAGCTGGTTTGCCTTTCTAGGATTTCTCTTTAGTTGTCTGCAGTCTATGTTATAGGTATTGCAGGATAAAATGATTGAATTAGATGTCTATTCCATCCTACTAATATAGCAGTTGGTACTTACACTTGTATTTGTTCTTTCTTATTCAGAGTTAGCTTTCTTTTAGGCCCAGCTACGTTTCTTCTAAACCCAGCGCATTTAAACTCTTGTTTGAGTAACTGCTGAGATTACCTAAAAACATGTAGTTCTTAGCCATGGACACCAGTGTCTTATACATTAGGAGCATCTAACTCTTTGAGCCAAATTGTGTATCCTCACACTGATGCACATTTTAAAGTGTTCTCTCATACACTTGTCTCAGGTGGAGCCTCAGAACCGAGGCTGTTATCACCAGTTTTAGAAGTGAGGAAACTTCAAGAAGTATAGGTTACTTGGTTCATCACCAGCCCAGGAGATAGAGGAACCCAGGCCTGCCTCCCGCCCAGTTCGAGTATTTCTACCATCCTATCTGGGATGCCCTTGTCGCTCAGTCGGTAAAGAATCTGCCTGCAGCGCAGGAGAGCCAGGTTTGATCCCTGGGCCGGGAAGATCCCTCGGAGAAGGAAATGGCTACCCACTCTGGTATCCTTGCCTGGAAAATCTCATGGTGGGCTGCAGTCCATGGGGTTGCAAAGAGTCGGACACGACTGAGTAACTACTTACTTACTTACCATCCTATTTAGACTGCCTTTCTCTTTACTGACAGAATCAGGGACGAACAGCCATTAGCAGGCCCTGTGTAGCATGGAGTGAAACCACCTAACAAAGGACATTTTTTATTCTACATCATATACAACACCTATTTCTTAGGCATCTGTGCATTTTAAAGCAGTCTTTCAAAATAAAACACCAAATTTTAAAAACTGCCCACAAACAGGAAGCAGAAGCAGCAGCTGTCATTAGGAAGGGTCATACTTACCACATCACCTCTGGTAATTCTTTAATAAAAATCTTGTTTGTACCATTTTTTTCACTTGTCATCCTTTTGTGTTGTTTTCTGTTATAATTTCTGGCTTTACTCAGACTCACTGCCAAAATATAATTAATACCTTTAGAGTATATATGCACATTTCTTTTGCTTTTTCTGTTTACAATAATGAATGTGAGTGTGTTTCCAATTCCATGAAAATGTGGTATCTATTTTAAACTTCTTCCAGTGAAATAAACTGAAGAGCAATGACGTTTTCCATATTCTCTCTTCCACACACACACACACACACACACTCACACGTAGTCACACCCAAACCAACATGGAATTTAGAACTTAATTTCAAACTTTCTTATTTCTACAATGTAATTACTACTTTCTGATAGAGGCCTACCATTTAATATAATAAAGTGCTGGTCTAGCATTATAGCTAAGACTCGTCAGTCATAGGCCAGTTGTCAGTATGGTAATTTGGAAATAGAAACTTATGTGCAGAGTTCAACCCTGAAATTTACTATCAGCATTTAGAAAGTGAAAGAAAGTAAAGTTGCTCAGTCGTGTCAGACTCTTTTCAACACCATGGACTGTAGCCTACTAGGCTTCTCCGTCCATGGGATTTTCCAGGCAAGAATACTGGAGTGGGTTGCCACTTCCTTCTCCAGGGCATCTTCCTGACCCAGGGATTGAACCCAGATCTCCTGCATTTCAGGCAGGCGCTTTACCCTCTGAGCCACTAGGGCTCAGCAGCATTTAGGATCTGCTCAAAGAGTTCAATTTCTTTAAACCTGACTGTACCATCTGCAAATGGCGATGTTCATACCTTCCTTATATTTTCTTTATAGTGAGGATTATGTGCCATGTTCAAAGTCTCTGGCTAGTCATAGACACAAATACATTTACTGAGTCTGAACTTGAATCTCTTTGCTTCATGAGCTTATTAGTTTTATTGAGGGTTCAGTTGTGCCATAAGTAGTAATTTGAAAGAATTCAAAGAAAAATATCTTCTGTTTTTTTATTTTTCCTAGTGCTTTTGGGCTGTTAACATGCCTACTGCAGCCCCATGGGACCATGATATTATCCACCAATCAAATACATGACTAAATGGCCTAGGGTGGTATCAGGCTTTCCTATATGCTGACTTCTGCAGGCTGGCCATGCTACCTTCCTAAGTCTTTCCAAGCAGATGCAGGCTCTCCTTGCATGCACTGAGAAAGACTTTTTCCAGTTTTAAGAACCTGGTGAATTCCAGCATTTATTTCTCATTTATGGGGATGTCTTTTTTTTTTTTTAATTCTTTGTTTTTAGTAAAGAATATCTGGGTTTTTTGTGCCAAAAGTATTGGAGGCAGCCTACATGCTCAGCAGTGGGGAACTGGAAATGCTATAAATTATGTCATATTCCCTTGACAAAATACTCTGTGTTCATTCAAATGAATCACAGGTACTGAGCTGGAATGCTTTTGTTAGAGTTGAGAATAAGGAAAAGATGAGTTTTCTATGGCACCTACTAGAGCTTTGAGAGGACTGCTAAGTACACCATTTCTGGGAGTAAAGTGCTTTCTTTTGCTGGACTCCAAGGACAAGACTTT